AGTCTTACTTATGAGTCCTCAGCTGGCACATTGGTGCAATTGTGCTGACATTTGAGGCAGGTTGATCCACAATGTATTCCTGCTTTTCTGCATGAACAAGCATTGCCACAACCTGACTTTAAACAGTTGCAACTGATGTTTTGAATGAGCTTTTTCGGAGCTGTACTCATAAGAGTGGTCACTGGTACATGCGCCCCATTGTTCATCTTCCATCCCCATTCCCCAGCTTATCGGATCTATAAGGTCATTCTCATCCCACGCCTGCAGCTGATGGTAAACACGATAAGAATGTTCAGCTGCCCCCTGTATAAGTAATGTTTCAAATCGGTATTATAGCAGCAACGTGGTCGATAAATAACACTTAGAAATCAAAATATCCTCCAAGTTACGTTTAGGGGGAGTGGGGGTGCCATGAGTCAATACACATACATGAGTCTTGTAATCAACATGTACTGGTGTTTGCGAACATGCTGTAAACTGCACTATAACATATTGCAATAGGCCATTACATTCGGAATATGATCTGAAAAGATGGCGCAAAACGGATTGAAAATGACGAAGTTATCAAGCAATTTGTTTATCTCGTTAGCGAAACTGATTGGGTTATCAATGATTACCCAATCGCTAATCACGTGACAGGGTGTTAGGATACCGTAATTGGGCCTTCTGCACGATTTCTGTGCCACTCATTCACTGGATCAGACACCACCAGTCGGATCCACGGAGTTGGTAAGGTTCGGCTATTCAGAACGATTCCGATAGTGGGAATCAAGTGCACTAAGCTACGGAGAAAGTCACTTGAAATTTTTGGGCGAGCGAATTAGTAAGAGCCTAACGTATGTGTACTATACCACCTCCCCCCTCCCCCACACAATAACTTACCCTGTCTGTAATCCGATTTGAGGATTTATCATTTGGTGCGATCTCTACGTTACAGAATGGACATTTGTTTAAACCGTGTTTGTGGACTAAAGATGGTTCTGACTCAGTTACAACGGACTCATCTTCATTGGCCGATATGAATCGTTGGAACTGGTCTAAGGTCACTGTCTGCAATAACACACAATAGACGTCACTCTGAGCGTAATCGGTCAGGCCGTTGTACTTCCGTTTAATTTCGTTCAGTCACCAGGGGTTGTTGATCCAACCTGTGTTACCATGGTTTGTTTATTTATACAGAGTATGAGAGGCCTCAGGATAATGAATAGGACTGTAACCATCCGTTTCAAACTTGCTGGGCATAGTTTAAAAGTTAGTGCACTTACTTAAAAGATAAATAGTTAAAATAGTACCTGGGGACAGCAACCCTTTCCAGACTTTATTCCATACAAATTTACTTTGTCGATCATTCGCCCTCTTAATTAAAGCTATTCACCGGAATTAACTCCTCATTTGCCTGGTAAATTAAAACATAGTATTGGTTAAGAATGCCTCTAGTTGCGCTCTCGTGTCTCGGTTGACATCGAACTTAAAAGTAAAACGGTAAAAACATATTACTGTTATTGTATATTAGTTGACAGCTACTTACATAGAATCTGCACGCGTACAGTATCAGGCACACGATGTGTTCTTCTGTTTTCAAAATGTCAACTATTTGGAGTGATTTCAGTCCTCGATTTTTTACGAAGAGAAGTCAACATAAAGTAAAAGCTGAAGCTTACACTTCCAAACGATAAACTGACAATCAGAGATAAGATCTCTAGTTAGCGATTGAAAAATTGCTAAGTCTTGTTTAAATAACCAGTTTAACAATCTAGTTAAGCCATTTAATCTGTTTATTCCATTAATCTGGATCTCTTTTTATCTGCTATCTAATCTATGTGACGATGTATGTTCTGTTATTCAAGTAAATTCATTTTACGTTTCACGTCACGGCAAATATTTTTGATAAAAATTATATTTTGAAATTTTTAAAAATGTAATTATTATTTTATTAATTAATCAATTAATTATCTAATCCAAAGGTTGTCAGGTAAAAAGTTGTTCTCTTTTATGTTTTGAACACATTGGTTCAATCTAGAACCTTCTACGACATTCAGAAGTCGTTTTATTAGCGGAGATTCAATGTGGTAAAAAGTGGTAAATAGTGGTTATTCTTTACAAATTTCGAAAATTTTAAAAGTCCAAAATATTGAAAGTGAAAATTTTCAAAAGTTTTATAAAAATTAGTTCATTATACGTGGAATGTAATTGTGAACATTTTTATCAAAATATATTTTTGAAATATTTGAAAATTTTTTAATTATTTAATTAATTAATTAAATAATTAATTTTTGAAAAAGTTGTTAAAGAAAAAGTTGTTCTTCTTTGTTTTCTTAACACACTGCTTTAAACTAGAATCTTCTAGGATATTCAGAACGTGACTTATTTGCGGAAAACCAAAGTGGTAAAAAGGTGGTAGAAAAGTGGTAATTGTGGATTTTCCTGAAGTCTTTTTTTTTTGGGAACTCTCTGGAATGATTACTGGGACCTGTCCCGACAATATCCCGTTAAAATCGCTTTGTTGCGAATTTTGTCCGACAAAGGCTTAAATTAGGACGGATTTGACTGTACTACTACCCTGATGAGCCAAAAATATTTTTCAGTCTTCTCAAGTCCGTACCTATAACATTCGGAAGGCTGTGGATGTGATTGGTGCATATGATTATAAGGAGAATTGGCAAATTTGGTCCTCAGATATTTAAAAAAATGCGCAATTTGTAGCGGAGAACTGAGAAAATCGCGATTTGTCGCGGAGAATGGGAAAAATCGCGATTCCGTTTTGACCTTGCTTAAAGACAGACGAAACTATAGTATAAAAGGCTGCGAAGAGTGTGACGAATTGGAATTTATTTATTGTTTTTTCTGAGTCTGGTGTAGTATCATTGCTTCATTGGCTTTATTGAAATGATAAATGGCCCAAACAATAACAAACGACTCTAAGTATTCGCATAACAACGTAGTTGCTCATGTAAATACATTGAAGTGGACAGTTACCACAGTACCCAGATGGTGCTACAGTAAGTCTAGACTATAAGATCATTATCTTCTCGTCCGCACAGAATTCAAAACAGTTATTAGTAAATGACAACTCCACTCCTCAGAAGTTGAACGAACACTAACAGATGACAACGTTAATTTACTGCCAAAAGATTGACCTGAAAATTTCCTGGTGTTAACAAATTTAGTCTAACATTTACACTTTACATTCAGGGTGTGTTAAACAGATCAGATCATTTGACATTTTTCACTCATGACTCATTTAAAATTAAAGTTTTAACGATGTTTTTGACAAGGATAATCTCTAGACACTTTGGACTATAATTTCTAAGAGTGTTTTTGGGACTTTTTTAGAGCAAAAATAATTCGTTTAAGACATCATCGAGATTTTCCGTAAAGCTGGACCAAGACAGCGCCGATTAATTATATACCTTAGGGCCAATAAATTTGGTTCACAATAAATTTGGTTACCTTAATTTTGGTTACCATAATTTTAATTACCATAATTTTAGTCACAAATTTCGCAAATTTTTAGTTTACAACAATTTTAATCACATTTTTTCGACTTTTCGAGACCATTTTCCATTCCATACGACGTAGTTTATGTCAATATGATCCTTCAGCCGTTTCAACAGAACATGCATTGGGATGGATCGATTAAAAATGTTATTCCAAGAGGAGCTCTAACCCTTTAATGTTTAAGTGCAATAGGACTTTTGTACGGTTTTGTGCAGTAGGAATGGTGAATGGTGATGTCATTATATTAATTATAAAGCCCTATAAACAATGTAAGCTTAATAATATTCAATATTCATGTCATTTATGCTCTGAAAAAATTAGTCTCATGAAATTTGGTTACAACAATTTTAGTCAAATGTTTGACTAAATTTATGGTAGACTAAATTTGTCGTTCTTAAGGTATGCCCATTTACTGTTTAGTAGTTAATAGTAATTTAGATTTTAGAGTGCAGTAAACCTCTATTATACTGTGTTTATCTATAATGTGAACCCCCCCCCCCTCCCCCTCCCCCCTCCCAATACGACACTGTAATTACCACAATACTAATTTAACAATACGCTTGACACTTTGACAGATACAGGGGATTAGCGTCATCTTTCTTGTACCAATTAGTTCTTTAGTTATTTCTGTACCATTAAAATAGTTATTAGTTGTTGGAGTTATTGAACAAAAAGCTTAAAGACTGCCACATGGAAAGGAAGGTTTTACATCCCTCCAGTGTTCAATCTAGGTAAATTATAGACTGTGGGTTGATACTTGATAATATTAATGTACTTTTATAACATAATAAGAAACATAAGAAACATTTTTACCGATATTAGGTAATATCAGGAGTTTGTTTTTAAATAAAAGGCTACCACATTGAAAGTAATAATGTTTTACTTCCCTAACTTTGAATCCAAGTTAAATACAGTAAATCCCAATTTACCGCGCCTCGATTTACCGCATAGCAGTTGTTTTCTTTCCCCAAATAGGGTTTAACATGCATAATGTGAACAAACAAAACCCCGATTTACCGCAAACCCCGATTTACCGCGGTTGTTTTCTTTCCCCAAACTCGGCGGTAAATCGGGGTTTTACTTTATTAAATAAAATATACTACAGTGCAGGTAAATATAATTTAATAAACATGAGAAATGAGTACCCAATTGAAATAATTCTTTCTGGTAATGGTATGACTTACTACCACCACTGGTTCGAGGAATTTGTCAAATCGAAAAATATTCGTTTTTATTTTTTTCGAATGAATGTTCATTTTCGCATTTATTTGATAGTTTGGATAGTTAATTTGGATCGAGTCAAATTTTATTGAATTGTGTTAATTGGCCATTTATTAATTACGTTTGTGCTGAAAAAATGAGAGTTCTAGCTTCTCAGAGGAATTTAATTCTCCCTTTGAATCAATCAAGCTAGATGATTTGTTGTAAATACTGAGATCAAACTATCAATTTACAGGCTATTGTCAAACATGTTGCAAGGCGTCATCTTCAGTGACATAAGCCTCAAATTATTTGTTATATAGTAGTGTTGAAAGTATTAAAAGCTTCTCATATGACCGAGATATGAAGCATAACGAGTTTATTCATTACATCATGTCACTGAAGATGTAATACATGTGAGGTGTGTAATACATGTGAGGTGGTAAGGTACTAACTGCTAATACCTTTGCTCCTTTTTGAAAAATTACGGAATACTGCTAAGGGACGGGATAGAAACAAGAAAGAAAGGGGCGGCGTTATTTTTATTCGTCCCGCTCAATAAATGATCTCTGCACATGCACAGTTTTAATAATCCCAGGGAGTTGTATTTATTTCACTGAACATATTAAACTGCACAACGATAGTGTTAAACTGTAATTACTTAATTAGGACTTTAGGAGTGTGAAGGGTGTACATAATGTTTGACACGTGCTTAGGTTCAACACACCCTGAGGTTAAATTCCGCGCACTACACAGACAGTTCTTGCAGGAAACGTACAAAAGTTCGTCTGTTGAACTTCTGCACTCATAATTGGATACATTTTCAATTAATTCAGTTTCATCATTGAACAAACAATCCGGTTATCTGCAGTCTGATAGTGATATTGTACATTATATTTATAATTCGAAAGTTGGCGAGCAAGGAGGGCCTCGTAGATTATAAGTTCATTGTAACAAATATTCAGATTAAACTTTTTCACTGATTCGATTTTATTCGCAGTTGTGCTTGGGTTTTTACGTGCTTTTTGTCATCAGAGATCCTCAACGAGCGAAGAAACCAAGATCCGAATCCGTCAGTTTTAAGGAAGTAACTTACACCCCAGTTCCACAGCCGGATATTATGCCAAATTATTAGACGGAGTTCGTCTACTGATATTTTTCCGGATATTTCTCCGGTTTGCAGTTCCACAACCTTATCCGGAGACCATCTACGGTAATTTTGTTGATTCTGTAAACAACCCTACAATACAGCTAATTCGCCCGCGCGCGTTGGTCTCCGGGAATTAATCTCCGAATAATTCCCGGAGAGCTTAATTTCCGTCTAATATAGTAGACGGAGCCGGAGAATCATCTCCGGAGATGATCTACGGTAGGGCCTGTCATGATATCTATATCATGGATCGCTTAGGTTCCACCAGGATCTGGTAGTCCTCATAATTCTGCGGCCTCTATGTATCGTTAACTCGCACAACTCCGTAAGACCCTTGTGAGTTTGGCATGTGAAAATTTGCAGCCTTCCAGACATTGATTGGGTTAACGAGGTGTCGTACGTCACCTCAAGATCGGGTGACAGGGGGCTGACCAGGCCAGAACCCAATTGATTGGGTCTGAGGTCACGTGATTATGAGCCTGAGGGCACGTAACTGTGACGTCACCAGAGCTTGTTCTCCATTTTCCGCTAATTGGACCAGGTGAGCTTGCATGCTTGTGAATGTGGGTGTAAGTTAAAGTACAGCTGTACTGTAGTTTATATCTAATTACTCCCTATTATAGAAACCGTAAATTTATTTTCTGACATGTGACAGAAGCTAGAAATTTACCAAAATATCGACATTGTTATAAACTTATTTTGTTGACCATTCCTAATAATACAGGGTGGCCCATAAGTGACTACCCACACGCAACCTCTTAATAACTCACGTAATTCGTCTCCAAATTGCACCAAAATTTCAGAGATTATAGATATGGGTCAAATTTAGATTTCCTGAAAGTTTCGTAAGCCACGCCCAATTACAGTGGGCGTGGCGTGACACTCCCTCTTTTTCACTATTGTCTTCATAAAATGAGAACGCTTTAAGCTAAGAACTCAAACTTTTTTGCACACATTTGGCTTGATAATTGAAAACTTTTCCCAAAGTTTCAAGTTCATTGGTTAAAATATGGCTAAGTTATGACCATTTCAAAACTCATCGGATACGTGATCCGAGCACTCAGTCAGTGATCTCGTCACTTGGTTAATGGCCTGTTTGGCTCACATGCACCGCTTGATTGGTTGCAGCCTGCTTATGGGCCGGCCTATACAGCTGACAGCACCTAAAACGCTATCACACGAATTTCAGGGCTTGTTAGCCCTGCTAGTCACAGGTTCCTTACAATCAATAAAAAGGAATGAACCATCCATTGAATCATCGAAAATGGTTCACTATCCTCCCTTTACTGCAGAACAACGATTGTTCGTCTACCTGAAGAAAGAAAATGGGGTGTTCTACCCTCAGATTAAACGACAATTTCAGATGAAATTCAACCGACCACCCCCTTGCCGGAAAAGCTGCTTTGACATTCATCACAAGATCAAGTTTACGTTTTCTGCACACGATCGGCGAAGAGTCGGCAGAAGACGAACTTCGAGGACTGTAGAAAACATCACGATGGTTGTTGGTGACGTGATGGACACACCTAAGATTGGCACCCGGAAACGAGCTCCTGCCTTAGACATCAGCAGAACAACCCTTCAGCGAATCCTAAAGCAAGACCTTTCTAACCGGGCCTACCGAATCACAAAGAAACACAAACTTTTGGACCGTGATTTCCAATTGAGGATAGATTTCGCCAACACATTCCTGTCGAAGCAGAATGTGGATCCATACTTTGATTTATCCTAAAAATTTGTGTTTTCCTTTCTAGCAAAGTCATCATCGGTATCCAATGAACCTCATTAATACACGCTAACGCCTTACTCTTGATCAGATTGGGTAACGAGATCACTAATTGAGTGCAAATATCACTGACTGAGTGCTCGGATCACATATCCGATGGATTTTAAAATGGTCATAACTCAGCCATATTTTAACCCATGAACTTGAAACTTTTGGAAAAGTTTTCAATTATCAAGCCAAATGTGTGCAAAAAATTTTGAGTTCTTAGCTTAAAGCGTTCTCATTTTATGAAGACAATAGTGAAAAAGAGGGAGTGTCACGCCACGCCCACTGTAATTGGGCGTGGCTTACGAAACTTTCAGGAAATCTAAGTTTGACCCATATCTATAATCTCTGAAATTTTGGTGCAATTTGGAGACGAATTACGTGAGTTATAAAGAGGTTGCGTGTGGGTAGTCACTTATGGGCCACCCTGTATATAGCTAAGTTAGATGTCATAAGTTCGTTAACTAGCTTGTGAGTATAGATAGATTAGGGAGCGACAGGCTCGTTAGGCAAAACAATAGCATCTACATTAATAATTGTAAGTGTTAAGATCTAAACAGACTCTTCTTCATGATGTTGTTACACGAATTTCAATTATGAATTAGGGATGAACTCATGGTTCATAGGATTAGGGTAATGAAAATTACTAGTTGGTTTGTGTGTAGATAGTAGGTCTGTGCGGCTTCTAGTGATAATAGAAAATTATTATAATTATTACGTAAGAATTATTACAAAAGTTATGTTTATATAGAAACAAGGAGTGTAACTTACATATTGAGGCACTTTTCTTGTACCGTTTTTCTGGAAACTACTTTTTTTATGTTTCATGCTTCCCTGAGCATTATGATCCGAAAATACTTTTTCGGTCCGTACAGCTACATTCGAAAGGCTGTGGATGTGATAAGTTCAATATAATTATAAAGAACGTGATATTTTGTTGTATCACGTTTCGACCCCCACGGTCGTTTCACTATGTGAACCTGTGACGATACAGGGGGACCTGTGACGATACAGGGGGACCTGTGACGATACAGGGGGACCTGTGACGATACAGGGGGAGCCGCGCACTTCGTGCGCGGCGGGTCATACAACGTATGACAAATATTTTGCCCTCGGATTTAAAGGAGAATGCGCAAATTTGGTCCTCAGAGAACTGGAATAATCGCAATTTGTCGCGAAGATCTGTTTGTCTCGGCAAACGTCAAAAATCGCGATTTGTCGCAGGGAATGGGATAAATCGCGATTCTGCACGTGCCGCGATCTCCTTTTGACCTTGCCACTCCTGTCTTTTGATAGTTGATTCATGCTTATGATGACCAGGAACACATCTGGTCCAATTAGCGGGAAACGAAGAACAAGCTCTGGTGACGTCACAGTCACGTGCCCTCAGGGCTCAGGCTCATAATCACGTGACCTCAGAACCAATCAATTGGGTTCTGGCCTGGTACGGTCAGCCCCCTGTCACCCGATCTTGAGGTGACGTACGACACTTCGTTATTGTTAACCCAATCATTGTCTGGAAGGCTGCAAATTTTCACATGCCAAACTCACAAGGGTCTTACGGAGTTGTGCGAGTTAACGATACATAGAGGCCGCAGAATTATGAGGACTACCAGATCCTGGTGGAACCTGAGCGATCCATGATATCATGACAGGCCCTAGATCTACGGGAAATGGACCTCCGTCTAATAATTTGGCATAAAATCCGGCTGTGGAACATGGGTTAGGGGTTGTAGCGCGATGCACTACTGGGTCGCGCGCGCATCAAATAATGCTTCTCGCAAATAATGTTTCGGTAGATCGGCGAGATGCACCAGTCCACTGTGCCTCACCGAGCTGCGAAGGATTGACATCGTGAATCGAGGTTAGGGGGTGCACGATAAAAATAAACTTGCTCGGGTTTTAAAAATTTTTGTACCACTGTTTTCAAGAGACTGTGAGAATTTTCACAATACCAAATTTTTAATACCTTTTTGGAAAGATCAATGAGTTTCGCCTTTATAGGTGCCATATTTGATGGTGCGCGGCTTTTGGAGCAAAAGTAGCTGTAAAAATGTGTAAAAGTCGCGTAATTTGACCAAATTCGTTGATTTTTGTCGTATTATTTGGATATATCTTCAGTTCCTTGCATGAAATCATTCTGAAAATTGGCGACGACCTTCCAATACTCAAATAGGGCTTTCACAACTGCACGCGGCTCACTGTCGATGGCGCACTACCTAGTATTAGTAACGCGCTATACAGATACTGCTTACTGGGCCGCGCTCAGCCTGTCATTCCGCCGAATCTCTATGTAATATACTGCAAGCGAGAGGGCTCTGGATAGAGCAACCCTGAACCCAGTAGCGCATCTCGCCGATCTAACGAAGTGGCTGCGAGAAGCATTATTGTGTATTGGATGCGCGG